TAGACGAACAGCAAATATTTGTCAATGCTAAACTATCATGCTGCAGTCATAGGCTGTGTGATTATAACTGGGTTAAATGCTGACCTGCTGAAACTGTGTTTTCTCTGTTTAAGAACGCTGATTTAATCCTCCTCTGACCAGACAGAGCTGCCTCATTGTTTACCTCTCTGACTTAGAGGAGTGATTCAGTGATTCACTGATCCTGCAGATATATTTTGGGTTTTTTGGGTGGGGGGTGTGGGGTGGGGGTAGCTTGTCCAAAAGCCCAGCCTGCCTGCGGTTGGCATTCTGAAAGCAAAGTGATTGTGCTGAAATGCGGCCGGGGGGGACGAGCGTGCTGACTCATACCGGCTGCTCTGAGATAAGCCATTTTATTTCAGGCTCAGTGGAACACGCTGTAAGAAGACTGCATTTATGGCATAATGATTCATAACATAGGCATTATCCAGTATCACCTTACTGTGCACATAAAAACACTAATACTCATTGTTCAGTGTGGATATTGTGTTTGTTGTGTCGTATATTATGTTGTGTTTCATAGATAACACATAAAATGGACTTATATGGAAACGTGTTGATATTTATACAATTCAGTTTTTGAATATTATTGCATAATATTTTATTTATATAGCAGTTTTATTTTGTTATTTAAAATATATATATTATTTATTAATGTATGTATTTATTTATTAATTATTTATTTATTTAAAATATTATGTGGTTGGATTACTTCTAATTTTAATGCTTTCAGAGCTGCAAAAAGTTGCTCTGCTCTTTGGCACGTTATATTTGTATATGTTTAAAGAGCCCATAATGTCATATTCTGACACTCAGTTTGATGTATTATATAAACACTGATAATGTTTTAAAGCATACACTCACCAGTCCACAAGGTCCATATATTAAAAAACAACATATTTGACATGTTCACACATTTGAATTTTAAATTGACTGTTTTTGTGATGTCACACATAACACGTTTACACACATAACCACCTGTTCAGCAGTTTAGCTCCGCCCATTCACACTGAAGTTATAAGGAGTGTTTCAGCCCTGACTGCTTTTTGAATGAGGCACAGCCAGTCAGAACAGAGCTCATTTATATATATCAGTCTTAAAGGAACAGTAACAAAAACAGCCTGTATAACTCTAAAGCAGAGGTCACTATAGGTGGACCGCGGTCCGAGTCCGGACCCAGATGCTGTCCTATGCGGACCTGGACCTATAACCGATAAACTATGGAGAATTATTTAATTTCGACGGGGTGGTCCTATTTTAGTCGGCGTAACATTTTGTAAGTTCTAAGTATCACACTGTGCATTACGATAAGCACTGACACTTGAGTGAGTGATGCACACACAAGGGAGGGACGAGTTGAGAAACAGCAGTCAGAGAAGAAAGTGAGTCAGAGGGAAGTTATTTCACATGGCGTGATCTAAAAGGAGAAAACTGACAATTAATGTTGAAATATTAATGAATTGTACTTTATTTGATTTGATATTCAGTTGTTAACTGTATAAGATGTTGATATACCTGCTAGGCTATTTCACTTTACAGTATATGCCACTGAATCATGATGCAAGTTAGACATTATGATGTTCTGGACCTTTGCTTGAGGAAATTTTCTCTAACTGGACCTTATTGAATTTTAATTAAAGACCCCTGGCCTAAAGGAAAAAGAGAGACAAAATACATTAAAACTGCAGGATATGCGCCCTTTAATTAAATGTAATGTACTGAAATACATGAAAGCAGTTGGAGGTAAAATATGCATAATCATCATGCAAACTGACAACTAATAACTGCCAATTTATTGATTACTTATTTTGGTGGTTGATTTTTTAACATCAGTTTGGGATTGGTTGATCAGAGCAGCCTTGGTTTGTATTCTATCTTGAGGAATGTGTTAAGTGGTGTCGTTATCAAATGCCTTTAATCTCTAAACGAGGGGTCGCGTAGGTTAAATGGTGATGCTCACTAAGTGGCTGGACTGATTGTCTGAACTGACTGACTGGCCAGACGTTGTTGCTAAGCGCATCCCGAAAGGACAGTGTCTTTCTGCCTTCCGGGGTTTCCATAGTAACTTCACCTGGAGATGAGAGGACGTGTAAGGAGATGGTCATTGATTTCTGTACGCAGAGTGGCTGAGCTGTGCTGACCACTCGATTGTAAAGGTCAGGCTGAGGCCCGACATCTATCTTGTGTTTTTCTAATGAGGTTCTGAAGTTGCTATTGGGTATCGGCTTTATTAGAGACTAGACCGATATATCGGCTGGCAGATAATGACGGCCAATATTGACGTTATGTTATCGGTAATAATAAATAAAGTTGTGCTGCTGGGCAGCCCAGTATTAGACACCTCCTGTTTAAATGTTATTAGCAACTATTAGCATGAGAATACAGTGTTATAACACAGAATAAGGATAAAAAATAAAGAAATTATTAACAGAAACCAAAACTGCAAGGACTTCTATAATATTCACTATTGGAGAATAACATGAAAATCTAGAATATACATCTAAAATGATATCAGCTAATATTACTATAGTAGAATTTTTAGCCCCTGAAAGGGGAATTTCTCTACATGTCCATAATTTCTGCATAATTTAAAGGTTAAGATGTCATCAGAGTCATTCAGAGTGGTTTGGTGTGAAACACTCTGTTCTAGAGAGACTTACTGAGTCAGAACTGTTCACAGTGGTGGTGACAGAAACCAGACATCCACCTCTAAAAGCTCCCTCACAGAAAGTTATTACATGAATTTTTTTTCTGATTTTCTATTGTTTTACCATCATCAACACTACATTTAAATTCATAACACATGTGTAGGTTCACTTATGGTTTTAGATAATTAACATCTGCGCTGTAGTCTTGGCGACCCCTGGTTCCTGTCAACACCACTGTAAAGGAATCTGTGATGGTAAGTTTCTCTAGAACAGAGCAACCCTGACTTTTTTACATCTCAACCACTTTTTTTACATCTCAACCACTTATTATGTAGAAACGTTTAAAAATTGATGGAATTCACCTTTAAAATCTGTGTATTAAATTTTCAGATCAGTCAGGCCTCACTTTACATATCCAGAATCATCGTCTTGTGGCTTTTTTCTGAGTGTTTGGTCTGCTGCCCTGTCTGAGGTCATAGTGTAAGATCGATGCATTACTGGCCATGTGTGCAGTGAGATATTGAGCTGAAACTCGGCTTCAGGCGAAGGAAAGAATTTGCTGTCCTCAACAGAGAACTGAAAAAGATCAATATGCACAAATTTTCCATGTTTTTTCTACATTGGTCACCTTCGTCCACTAATTTACCTTTCTGTTTCCTCCCACAGTGATACTGAGGTACTAGCCTAATAGTTTCTGTTGTTGTTTTGGCTGAGCTGGGGATTGTAGTTAGTCTGCTGTGTCCCAAATTGCATTTGTTCAGGAAATGACAGTCAGTCTGTCTGCTTCCCTCCCTTTAAATGGATTGTTTAATTCCTACTGTTTTTAGACTGAGTCTGTTCTACAGTTTCTCATTAGGTTGAATGAATAACCGGCTCTAAATGTAGGTATTGTGATATAAACTGAGTCTGTTCTACAGTTTCTCATTAGGTTGAATGAATAACCGGCTCTAAATGTAGGTATTGTGATATAAACTGAGTCTGTTCTACAGTTTCTCATTAGGTTGAATGAATAACCGGCTCTAATTGTAGGTATTGTGATATAAACTGAGTCTGTTCTACAGTTTCTCATTAGGTTGAATGAATAACCGGCTCTAAATGTAGGTATTGTGATATAAACTGAGTCTGTTCTACAGTTTCTCATTAGGTTGAATGAATAACCGGCTCTAAATGTAGGTATTGTGATATAAACCGAGTCTGTTCTACAGTTTCTCATTAGGCTGAATGAATAACTGACTCTAAATGTAGGTATTGTGATATAAACTGAGTCTGTTCTACAGTTTCTCATTAGTTTGAATGAATAACTGGCTCTAAATGTAGGTATTGTGATATAAACTGAGTCCGTTCTACAGTTTCTCATTAGGCTGAATGAATAACCGACACTAAATGTAGGTATTGTGATATAAACTGGGTCTGTTCTACAGTTTCTCATTAGGTTGAATGAATAACTGACTAAATGTAGGTATTGTGGTATAAACTGAGTCTGTTCTACAGTTTCTCATTAGGTTGAATGAATAACTGGCTCTAAATGTAGGTATTGTGATATAAACTGAGTCTGTTCTACAGTTTCTCATTAGGCTGAATGAATAACTGACTCTAAATGTAGGTATTGTGATATAAACTGAGTCTGTTCTACAGTTTCTCATTAGGTTTAGTAGGATCTTTGCCAGAGTTCTGTAAAGCTTGTCCAACCTCACAATAATACCCTATGGACGAATTTCTTACTTCCAGATTAAGCCCAGGGCCAAGACTAAAAAGATCTTCCAATGGTGATTCACCATTGTTGCCAGACTAGACTAAATCCCTATGTGAAAGTTTGTAGACGGCAGCGTTTCTTCTGAAATGAAGGGTATTTATAGTGAGTTTGTCCCTTTTTCCTGAAGTAACAGCCTCTACTTTTCTGAAAAGGCTTAACAGTAGATGCTGAACATTGCTGTGAGGATTTGATTGAACATTAGTGAGGTCAGGTACTGACGTTGGATGGTCAGTTCTGGGTCACTCCAACTCATCCCAAAGGTACTGGATCACTCCAGAGAACACAGTTCCACTGCTCCACAGCCCAATGCTGGGGAGCTTTATACCCCTCTAGCCCATGTTTGGCACTGGGAATGGTGGCTCATGTAGGTCCGTTCCAGAGTGTTCCATTCTATAGGTCAGTGTTGTTCTATGGAGATTACATGTCAGCAATGGGAGGCCTTAAAATAGCTGAATTCACTCGTTAGAAGGTCCGTCTGGATAATTTTGGACGTATAGTGTAGATATGAAAGTAAAATGTTGCTGTGTTGCAGTTTTGTAGTCGTGCTCTAAATCTCGGTGGTTGTTGTGAACATATTCCAGGTTGCCGGAGAGCAGAAGTATCACCCCGAGTGCTTCACCTGCCTGAACTGCAGAACCTTCATCGGCGATGGAGACACCTACGCTCTGGTGGAGAGGTCCAAGCTCTACTGGTGAGTGCTGAACCGCCCGAGGCTTCTTTCCTGATATCGGAATTCAATCTATATTTATTTCCCTTACTCTTTCGGAGAGGCTTTTTGAGTGAAAGAGCTTTTCCATCGTATTGAACTTTGCGTTTCACTTTCCGACGAACTTCAGCACCCTGAAAATAGTGCTGCCCTGAATTTATTTGTGTATAAATATGTGCATTGTTTCCACATTAACACCAAAGTTCCCTCAGATCCTTAAAAAGGTCTTACAGTAGATTTTTAAAAATTGTCATTATTTGTCTGAAAAGGTTCTAAAGTCTTTCAGGATTCTCACAACCGTTTTCTCTTTACTTTAAGTGAGCTGCCTAAAATCTGTTAAGTGAAAAGTTTAAGTGAAAAAAATAAAAACAAATCCCTACTTTACAGTTGCAGCGTTTATAGTTTTAAATTTATAACCTTAAGCATTTAACTTAAGATAATTACTTAAGAACTTTTATGAAACCTGCCGCAGGTTAACAAGAGTAAAGTAAATTAATTCAGATTAGTCAAAACCATGAATATTCACCCTACAGCAGCCATGCGGTCAGAAACTAGATCTCAAAGAGTATCTCCATGTTCAGTTTTAAACCTTTATTAAAAACAGTTTGGATAAATTAGACATTAATACATATCATATTGTTGCTGTATGGTGGAAATTTTTTTGCTTTGTTAAAGGGGAATTCCAGCAAATTTTTCAAAATTTCTCCATAATTCAGTGTTTGGGATGTAAAAAGAGTGGTTCAGAGTGGTTTGGTGTGAAATGGTTCAGTGGTGGTGATAGGAACCAGGGGTCGCCATGACTACAACACAAATATGGCCATTTTATTTACTATCCAAAACCACCAGTGAACCTACACGAGTCTTCTGAGTTTATATGGAATGTTGATGATGGAAAAATAGTGGAAAACCATTTCATGTAGTAACTTTCTGTGAGGGAGCTTTCAGAGGTGGACGTCTGGTTCCTACCACCACCACTGTGAACAATTCTGACTCGCTAAGTTTCTCTAGAACAGAGCGTTTCACACCAAACCACTCTGAACGACTCTGTTTACATCATTTAATTTTTTCACTTTAAGATGTTAAAGTGATGTTAAAAGCATTTCATTTGTTTTTAAAAGTGCAGACGACCCGGACATTTTACTCCAACACATTTTTGTCTTATAGTTTACTCAGTTTTGGCAGTAATTGTGTTAATATTGTGTAATTTATGTGGAAATTAAATAAATAAATCAAGTACATTCAGTTCAGAAATACGTTTCTGTTCTTCAGTGTACGTAAGGGTTAGTTGCTTTTTTGTACCTGGAATGAAATGACTAACTTGTGCAGGCAGGTGAGGCTAAAATAAGAGACCTGTTAGATTGTCAGATTACATCCCCTATAGCTGACTTTCCCAGCAGTGGTGCTGGAGTTTCCCTGCCCTGAATAGTTTGGTGTTTTCCAGATCAAACACATTCAATCACAATCACTACATTTTACCTTTTAGCAATTCTTAAATGCTGCATTAATTTGTCATAAAATGTATATAAATATAAAATAATATCCAAAATACCTTGTATTTCAGTGGGGAAATTACATCTCGAGGCAGATAACTTGATAAATAATCGTTTGAATAGATAATTACAGTGTATTATTTATCATTTAATAACTTCTTGTTGTTGCTAGAATACTAGAAAACTAGTCTTTCTTTTCTAGAGCGTTTGAATCTGCAGTATATACATGTATTATATTTAAATATACTATTTATTATGTAATATATAGTGCAATTTTCTCCAACACTGAATTAGCCTATCTTAGACTACGCTTATGCTGACAAACTGACCCATAATGTTTAAATATAATATAAAATGTGAAGATTTTACTGTAAAGTTTTGCTTCTGTTGCTTCCGTAGTCATATTTTCACACCCATATTCGTCAAACCATTTAAAAAAAGCCCCTTTAAATGTGGAGAAAGCAGTTTACTGTGAGTGATATACTGAAAGTCATTTGACTAATGTCTCCCTCTAGTGGACACTGTTATTACCAGAACATTGTGACCCCGGTGACCTTGCCAGACTCGCCCTGCTCCCGCATCCCCCACACGGTCACTCTGGTGTCCATCCCGGCCTCCACTGACGGCAAGCGTGGCTTCTCCCTGTCCATCGACCAGGGCAGCAGCCCAAACGGCTACGGCCCTGACCACAACCACACGGTGCGCGTGTCCGAGTAAGTGCACTAATCAGCCGCTTTATTGTTGTGACTTAGCCGTGTTAACTTTTCTCAGATGTCACAACATGATTTGAACACTTTATTCATGCAATAAATCTACTGATTTTAAATGATATTACACAGATTTCTTTGTTAAATACTACATTATGCAAGTTTTGTCAGATATACTGTAAAAAATAGCAGGTTTTAGTGACTTTACAGTGCAAAATATGTAATAAGCTGGTATAATAAGACCTATTATTCAGCGGAGACTAGATCAGGCCCTCTATTATTCATAGCTAATGTTATTTAATCTACTCTTTATGTGTACATTTCCAAGGGTGGATGCTGAGAGCATCAGTCCAGATGTGAAGAACTCCATACATGTCGGCGATCGCATCTTAGAGATCAACGGGACCCCCATCCGGAATGTTCCACTTGACGAGGTACCGACAAAGCACTCTGGTTCTCACACACATTTATTAATTTCTGTATTAAAGGGGGCTACAAATTTTTTGTGGTTTGGTGTGAAATGGTTCAGATTTCTTTACAGTTTTGGATACTAAATAAAATATAGACATTTTATTTAATATCCAAAACCACCAGTGAACCTACACGAGTCTTCTGGGTTTATATGGAATGTTGAAAATAGTGGAAAATAGTGGAAAATCTGAAATAATAAGTTTTCTTTGGGGACTATTTTGCCTCATAACACCCTGCATATTATGTATCCCTCCACCGTGAAAGGATTTTAAAAATGTTTTAGATCAAAACTGTCATAAAACAGTGTCTCAGTCATCAGGCAGTGAATTCATAACCATTTCATGTAATAACTTTCTGTGAGGGAACTTTTAGAGGTGGACATCTGTTTCCTATCACCACCATTGTGAATGATAGGATAGTTTATAGTTTTAGTTTATAGATTATAGTTTATGTACTGGGGCTTGTTTTCTTCTATAGTGTGTAATTTAATGCAGATCATTATATTATTTGGTATTATTTTTAATAACTATAACTCCACCAACATAACCAACCTCACCCTGTGTTTGAATCTCTGTTTTAGATCGATCTGCTCATCCAGGAGACGAGTCGGCTCCTGCAGCTGACCATCGAGCATGACCCCCATGACCAGGGGGGCTCGGGGGACCAGGTGGACGGCCCCAGCCCCCTGTCTAGGGTTCCCAGCCCCATCACTCCCATCACTCAACCCCCACACCAGGACGTCAACAGCCTGCGCTCGCGCGTGATCACGTGAGTCCGACTGAGGAAATCTGTGTTTGTACAGTGAAAAACTCCCCAGCTGCAAAACTGAAACTGAGGATTAAGCTCTCAAATAGCATTTATGGTTTTAAGTTCAGGCTGTTTAGTCAGGATTTTAGGTAATTTTTTAAATTAACCACAGTTTTTTTTTGTTGTTTTTATGTCAAACTGCCTTGTGAAACGTTTTGTTTTGAAAATAAAGCATAACAATAAATAAGCATAAAAACACTATTAAATTCTTTAAAGTTCTTAGATAAAGGCAGTGGTTGTACAGTCGAATGCAAAAGTTAGAACAGCCGTAGTTAAATTAGTGAAAATAACACCACAGAAACACACTTAAATATGGCATTTTTAGTCCACAATTCTATTTATTTTCTGAGTTTAACATAATTTACAAGAAAAAATATAAAGTGTGCTTTTGCACAGGCCACATTTTAGGCTTTATTTTTCCACAATACGTTAAATTTAGTAAATAAACAGTAACTGTGCATTAAAATGTGCAGAATCGTGTCTCTGTTGATGATGTGTTCACTTATTTTCACTTAATGAAACATGGAATTTGACCAGGAGAGCCAAACTGTGCACACAACGGTATAAAGAACTATGGCAACATAAAGATTCATTCAAGTGTTTAAATGATTCTTATGTATGAGGGAGAAACTGTTGTTAATGATTCATTAAAAGGAATAAAAAAAAAATCAAAGAAAAAGTCAAAGAACCTTTTTTGAAACTCTATAGAACCCCTTTTGCTAAGAGTGTTGAGCGCAGTGCTGAAGATGGTTCTTCAAGGGTTCTTTAGAGAAGACAGTGGCTCTATATAGAACCATAAACACTCAAAGAGCCCCTTGGAGCATTAAGCATGAACATGGTTCTTTGAGTGTTCATAGTTCTATATAGAATCATTACCTTTGCTAAAGAACCTTTGAAGAACCATCATTTTTAGGAGTGTATGGTTTATACAGTAGTGAATTAGACCTAATTTACCGTCGTGTTTCTTAGACACTACTCTGTATTGTTAAGCAGATTTAGTGTATAATTAAATCTAATTGGTAAATTAACTGTTTAATAATAAAACATAAACATCAATAAAGCAGGTATTAAAGCTAATTTTCACTCATTTGTCCATCTGCATGCGTCTCTGCAGGCGAAGCTACAGTATTGATAAGTCTCCATGCTCCAGTAACACGGCGTCCCCGCTCTCTCTGCGGAAGGACATCGGACGCTCTGAGTCGCTCCGGGTGGTGACCAATCGCACGCACAGAATCTTCCGGCCCTCCGACCTCATCCACGGAGAGGTTCTGGGAAAGGGCTGTTTTGGCCAGGCCATAAAGGTACATGCAAATGTTCAGACACTCACGCACACTTTGCATAATAGCCTGCGGCTTTAGTGTATCGATCACAGGAAGAGATACCTGCTGCCTCCCGGCCAGACGATGAAGAGATTTGCCTAGATTTGCATGTGGGACCATTCTGTCACTTCCTCTTTACCATAAAGAGGATAAAGAGGCAAATTAATTTAAAGTTTGAGAGAAGGATTCAATTTTGACTTTGAGAAAAGTTTCGAGACTATCAGTAAGGGGCAGCACAAACAAAATAGCCAGACTTCTGCATGTACAAGTAATAAAAATCTTTATTTTTATATTTTTATTTTTTCCTTTTAGCTACATGATCTCTAAGTGCTTTTATTGTGGAAGATTAGCAAAACACAGGAAGTCTAAATTAATTACTGAATTAATTTAATAGTACATTGCTTCAAATTATATAATATTAAGTAATAAAATGGCAGCTTAAATGTGTTTTAATCTGTATTTTAAAACCTAGAGTAATAATAATTATAATAATAAAATGGCCCATGTACTCTATATATGTATATAGTATGTATGTATGTATGTATGTATATACACACACACACACACACAAAATACACACACATATGGGATATATTATTACACACATTGAAAACCTCGTATCTCCATTTTTTGACGTTTTTCTGTTTTTGACATAATTTGAAAATACCTGCTGCTCTTTACATTGTATGTAAATTTTATGATGAATGGACTAAAAGAAACAGCCCAAAATGACTTGGAAAAAATTCTGGTTCCATTGACTTACATTAAAAGTAAAGAAGGTTTTTTCTTTTTCCTGTAAAGTTACCATTTTGGAGATATGAGGTTTTGTTCTGACAACATATATATATATTCATCTGGTTGTATGTATGATCAGGTGACCCACAGAGAGACGGGTGAGGTGATGGTGATGAAGGAGCTGATCCGTTTTGATGATGAGACTCAGATGACTTTCCTGAAGGAGGTGAGGAATTCAGGCCGCATCACCGCAGCTCACACACCAAACACAGCTGAGAGCCTTCTGACTCCTCTGAAAAGGAAACGAGTGTAAAACGAGACCAGGAGAGGCGCGGGTCAGATACGTGTGGTGGATTTTGGTGCTGGGCCCTTTTCCTCTTAGACTCACTTACCTCCCATCTGAATGGGACTTGATCCTCACAGCCGGCAGGAAAAAACTGCAGAGTCGACAGAACGCAGGACGAGGAAAAACACTCTGACCTCAACTCACAGATGCACAGCTTTTATTCCCATCACTGTAAAATTAATACTAGTGTCGCTGTAAAAACAGCTGTTAAAGTGGGCGGGAGGGTCTTAAAGCAGCACACAGCTGCTGTTAAACTGGGAGACAGGTTCCGTCGCTCTTCTTCCCTGCATGAAAATAGAAATTTTCAAGCAAAAAAAAACAAAGTAGAGAGGTTGGGTACTGCCTCATTTCAGAGGGTTCACTTCAGCTTTAATATAGTTTTTTTATTTTTTCTGTTTCAGTTAACGTTCAGTTAGCCTCAAGAGGACATGAACAGTTTTAGTTTTGTTTTTATTTTCCAAACATTAAAAGTTTTAGTTTACTTTTTATTTAGTTTCACTTTTTCCTTTTGTATTAAGGTGAATATTTTATGAGAAACCGGAGCGTAATTCATATTCGGACTGTTACCACAACAAGCCGATCTGTTTATTTTAGCATAATGCTGCAGAATTTTATTCAAAGTACAGTTCACAACTGACTGGATTTATTGATCTGCTTATTAGATTAGAAAAAACCCTATTGTGCCTCCACTTGGATTGTAGTCAATATTTTATCATCACCAAATAGTTAAATATCTCTAATAAGAGACACTTGACGACGTGGTCTGTACGTCCCAAGAGTCCTTAACTGACTCAGAAACTCAGTTCAGACTAGTTCTTAATGGAATCCATGCTAAATTAGCACAGCAGTAGACTTTGCTCGGCTAGGATTATCAGTGACAGCGCCATCTGCTGGCTGTTTAAGGTTTTACACAGAAGGGATCCACTTCTAGACCATTGATCACACACTGAAAACACAAAACTAACCAGTAATAGTATTTAGTTTTTGTTTAGGATGCAGTCAACATTATTATTTTGAAAACCGGCGCTTTTATTGTTATCATAGTTAACAAGTACATTTCTTCTCATGTTTTAATAAGCCATCTCTGAGGTCAGGCGTGGTGGAGAGAGGTGCAGTGGCAGCATTAAAGCATATTAAGCTTTACTCTGTCTGTCTCGCCTTTAGGTCAAAGTGATGCGATGCCTGGACCACCCGAATGTGCTGAAGTTCATCGGGGTCCTCTACAAAGACAAGCGGCTGAACTTCATCGCAGAATACATCAAAGGAGGCACACTGAGAGAAATCATTAAGAAAATGGTGCGTGTGTGTGTGTGTGTGTGCATTAAGAGGGGCTTTTAATCTACTGCATTGTTTCTCTTTTATGTCCTTTTGTAAATCCTCTTTTGCTGTGCATCACAAATCCTGTGCATGCTATACATCTGAGTTTATGTAAACATACACAGTGAGGTCCAGATATCTGAGACTGCATTGAGAATCTGGGACATTTTATCATTTAAAATTACAGAAAGTTGTCTTTTAAAGCAAAAGGAGGACACATACAAATACTAAGAATTCAAGTTGTAAAATTTAAAGAAAAAAAAAATTAAAGCCGCCTACTTGGAACAATACAGTTTGTAATCAAACTGAAAAATCTCACTGTGATCGATTATTTGAATATTCTAGCATTCAGTGATATCAGTATGTGCGAAGGCCAGTGTTGCGATTATTAATAAACAATAAAACACCTTGCAGCCTTAATATATGCTTGACCTGCGTCTCTTTTGCATATACAGGACAGCAGCTATCCTTGGGCTCAGAGAGTGAGCTTTGCGAAGGACATTGCCTCGGGGATGGTGAGTGAGTTTCATTTCATGTCCAAAATGGCTCACCTGTGAACATTCAGCCGTATAGAGTCCAGGTCTGTGTTATTGAGGTGCAGAACTGCGCCATCTGCTGGTTGCATTTAAGACTTTTGAATTGCCGGTGAACTTGCTGTAGGGAGATTTTCAACAGCAGATTAAAATTCACTCAAAGCTAAATTCTTTCATAACGATGTAATGATGACATTTACATTCTGTTTATGTTGAAAAAAACAAAAACATCAAAACATAACTATACAAAACAGTAACTTTTCCTCAGATTCACTTGTTTAAATGAGTTAATTTACTATCATGCCAGCAAAATAGTGGAATTTTATATAACACAGAATGGCAGATTTAGCCGAGCCGTATAACCATGAAGATTAAAATACAATTGCACTACAAAAACCCTCTGTGCACCAGACCTTGTAGTCTGTTTTGGGGAAATACTCATAAAAACTGTGCTTTCACTGTCAATTAAACCTTTAGAACAGTGACGCAGTGATAAATAAAGCTGAATACAGGACGACATGGCATGTTCTGAACGCCAACAGCAGGGGGCGCTCTGATCCTATCTCTATAGAAAAGTCTGTCCATTCTGCTCCATTCGTAGCAGCGAGGCCCGTCTCAATCATGACCTTTTAGCTGACGATTAATTGTGATAAGAATAATTACGAACAAGGATTTAATTGTCTTTTCTTGTTCAGTGTTGGCAACTATTAGAATACATGGCCAAATTGGATGATTAGCCACCTCACTAGTTATGATTACTGTACACTGTTAAAAAAGATGGTTCTTCAAGGGTTCTTCAGCAAAGAAAACAGTTCTACATAGAACCATGAACACTCGAAAGACCCTTTGCATTATTAAAGGGTTCTTTGCATCTTTAAATGGTTCTTCAGATTGATGGAGAATGTGCTGTAGACGGTTATATATAGGACCTTTTTGAAAAGGGTTCTATGTTACAATGTTGAGCCCTTTTTGGTGCTACAGAGAACCCCTTTCAAAACTTTTCACCTGGAAAAAACTTATTTAAGGTTCACAACTGGACCTTAAAATCACTGTTGTACCTTTGAGGGTACATGTACTTTGTTTGTACCTTGATAAAGGAAAAATGTACCTGCACAGAACCTTCATTATAACAGTCTCTGTAGAAGAGCACAGAGGCCGGTGCTGCTCAGAGGTGCCTTTATTTTTAAAAAAAGACGCTTCGCAGACGAGCTTTTGGAATGCAGCTTATGTATTTCTCTTCATGCTGCCATCTAGTGGCCACTCACATGTATCATGGTCATATCATGTTAAAGTGAGCAGGGAGGAGCGCGTTTCCCACTCAGAGATAAAAGCGTGTGGGATCAGTCGGTCAGCCTGTTGGGGCAGCATCTTTCAGTCCAGCACATGACTGTAGGATAACCACATCACGAAGTTACATAAGGCCAAAAAGCAAAGCGAGCTGGTTCTGAGTCACAGATGCTGTTTTTTCCACTGTGACTGATTTCTCTGTCTTCTGTTTCTCAGGCTTACCTGCATTCCATGAACATCATCCACCGAGACCTCAACTCGCACAACTGTCTGGTCAGAGAGGTGAGCGTCATCACTCAGATACAAAACAAACACGCTTCATCTGCGGATTTACCACGCAGAGGGGGCAGTTTGGCTTCATAGCAGATGCACAGGAGATTCTTTGTGCTGAAACAGTAGAGAGCAGAGTGTTTCTGTGAGGACGCAGTTCAGGTTAAGAGATAAATCCTCTGTAAAGCTTCCATCTGCGGCTCAGAGGATCAGATAGAGGATTAGACTCAGACTGAATTCAACACCCACTTAAAAACAAACCTCTGTTCTCACCATTTGTGGTGCGCTTTTTCATATTTAGCGAGATATGTGCATTTTTTTCTCTCTCTCCACTGTTGTTCATTGTAGTAAAATCACAGTACATCACATAATAAATATGCACATAATAAATAAATGAATAATAAAATAAAAAAAATAAATAAAAAAGACACAGTTAGAGACAGAAAAACAGAAAGAATAATAAGGTATTAATGTGGTTATTACTCTGGTTGAGCGCTGTAGTGGACTTTGAACAGCAGACTTTATATATTCTAAGAGCATGCCCTGTACTTTGTACAGCTGCATGAAGGAACGGATCACCAAAAACTGAATTTCTAAGTCAAGTCAAATGTCTTTATTCATTCTATCTCCCCCTCTTACCTCACATGTGGTCAATTGTCTGAGACACCTTTGGTGATGTTGAGTTTCAGCCCTGAAGTCATGAGGCTAATGTAGCTAACAAGTAATGAAAGTCTTCCACACTATAAACGATAAAATTATGCATTAGTACAGAGTTTTATGCAAAAATAATCACATTTTCTATAACTAAACTTCAGTTAACAGGCAAATATTATTTAAATAGTAACTTCTACATTTTTCAGAATTTACATACTGCTTTACTTTTAGAATTGACACTTTACTTAAAGGGGAACTCCACTTATTTTTCAAAATTGTCAAAATAAACAGGTTTTAAAAATACATTTTAGGCCAAAAATATATCAGAGGTGGACGTCTGGTTCCTATCACCACCACTGAGTGTTTTACATCAAACTGCACTGAATTGCTTTGTTTTGAACCAGTTTATTATGCAGAAATTTGTGGACTGCAGAAATTGTTTGTTATAAAAAGCAAGGCGGTCAGTTTCACCGATTATTTAACCTTTACAGTTTACAGCGTATTATATTAGCCTTTTAACTCCAGAGCAAAAAGCTGGTGAAGGAAACTTCAGACACCGAACATGTCCTGCCTGATGAACTGCATTTCGTGATTTTTGGTGAGCTGTTCCTTTAATCTGGTTGCCCATGTCTGCACTTTGACTAAAGCTTCTCTCGCTTCTCTCTCAGAATAACAGCGTTGTGGTGGCTGACTTCGGCCTGGCTCGGCTCATGGTGGAGGACAAAAACCCGGAGAAGCTGGGGAAGATCCAGGGGATGAAGAAGCCGGACAGGAGGAAGAGGTACACGGTGGTGGGCAACCCCTACTGGATGGCTCCAGAAATGATTCACGGTCAGTATCTGCTTTTTTTTCTATGCATTTTTTTTATTTTAGCGCTTACAAGTGTTATTACTGCCATTTTTCTATAATATTGAACTGAATGTAAAACATACTGAATTACATTTACATTCAGAACGCTGCATCGATAGATTTAAGTCTGCATTTCTGACTTTTTCTATTTCTTTTTGGGTAAAAAATGCCAGAAAAAAGTATAAAGATGGTACAAAACAATTACTTTACATTAAATTCACTTAGAATTCTCTTATACTTACAAATACTTATTATTAATATATATTAATATATAAATGGAGCCTGCTTTTGTTATACACTCTTTAAAAAGATGGTTCTTCAGGGGTTCCTCAGTGAAGAATACAGAGAACATAAAGCTATGAACCCTCAAAAAAACTTGCATGATTAAAAGGTTCTTTGCATCTTTAAATGGTTCTCTTGATGAAGAATGCGCTATCGATGGTTCTCTATAGGACCTTTTTGAAAAGGGTTCTTTGTAGCACCAAAAAGGGCTCTTCTATTATTACAGGGTCAAGCCTGTAACAATAGAAGAACCATTTAAAGATGCAAAGAACCCTTTAATCATGCAAAGGGTTCTTGGAGTGTTCATGAAGAACCATCTTTTTAAGAGGGTAGGTAACACTGGCTGTACTGTTGAAATGATACTGCACACACACACACACATGCTACAGTGGTTCTTTACCTGGTGAAATGGTTCTTCAGATTGATGGAGAACATGTTGTATATGGTTCTATATAGCATCAAAAAGGGTTCTGCTATTGTTACAAGCTTAACATCATAACAAGAACCTAAGCAAAACCTTTTCTGCTGCTATATAGAAGCATATGCAACATATACAATGTACGAAGCCCTGCTGGTGACATCCCATGTAAATAAAAATGGGAATGAGATCAACAACTCAGTAAGGTGTGGGAATGAGATAATTAAGAATTAGTAAGGTGTGGTAATGAGATCATGCCGTACTAAAGTCCACGCATTAGAATCTCGTTTCCACGTCTTAATAAGTTGTGGCCACAACTTAATTATCTTGTTCCCACGCCTTACTAAGTTGTGGCCACGCATTATTTTTATTTATGTCACCAGCAGGGCTCCGTAATAATGTGTACATATATGTACATTTAATTTAAAGTACATGCCTGATTCTATATGTCCATATATGGCCATATATCAGATTTCTGTATGTGATGGAATAAACAACGAAATAATAAACAGTGAATCAGAACGATTTTAGCTGTGTTTAACGTTGGTGGACGGCCTGTCTGATGCCTTACTGTTTGTTTTGGTTGCTCTGCTCACAGGAAAAAGCTACGATGAAAGGGTCGACATCTTTTCCTTCGGCATCATGCTGTGCGAGGTGAGTCCTCCGGAACAGATCTGTGGGAATAATCAGAGGCTTGGCTCACAGTTAACGTCTGAAATAGCCTCAGTCTCTCAGTCTCTCTCTCTCTCTTTCTCTCTCTCTCTCTCTCAATGGGAGACACCAGCATGGTAACCATTAGTGCTCCTCCAGCCTCCTTCACTGTAAAAGTGTTCTAAATAACCCAGTGGTCTCCGCTCGGCCGTTATTGAAGTGTTTCCCGGGCCTGTATTTAGGGAGGAAGCTTCGCTGTATGTGGCCGTTGACAGGAATAAAAAAGTTCGGAAGCGGAAGCTTCTTACTGTCTGATGTTATTTCAGGGAGCAGTTCTGTGAAAAATCAAACTTCACCTCTTTACCTTAAATGTAGTCAATCAGCAGAGACAGAAAAGAGGTTCTAGATAGTATAAAAATATTATAAGAATGTAACCATGGCAGAACTCTTTTTAATGCTATATAGAACCATTTTAAAGGGTTATGTGAAGAACTGTAAGCAATAGGTGCTCCATCGTGTAGTGATGATAATAATAATAATATTAATAATAATAATAGTTGCTGTAATAGAGAATATAAAAGACTATCATAACCATGTGAGATTAGCTGTAGTGTAATTAGAGTGACACACATAAGAACTATTTAAGCATTAAAGCTGGTTCTTTAGGTTCTGTATGTAACCACAGAGTTTACCGAAGAACGCTAAGATCCCCTTTTTAACAGTGATGGCGAAAAACAGAGTTAGTTGCCTTTAAATGTACTTAAGTATCAAAAATAAATTGTGATTTGCTGCAGTTATGATGTAATACTATAATGTATGTAAATTGATGTCAATGTATAAATTATAATATTTTAAGACATTAAATGCTGAATTCGCTGTTTATGTTTACAGCCACACATTAAGACATTAAGTTGTTTATTAATATAATATATCTGTCATAACTCACAATACTTTTACTTTGAAACTTAAGTACATTTAAAAGCAACCTTTGCTACTCAACTACATTCAGAAGTACTTTTGTACTTTGACTCAAGCAAATCTGGGCAGAAAACTTTTACACGAGTACTATTTTACCCAGAATCCTCCACTCTCACTCAAGTACAGTCGTTTTCAGCTCCTGGAAAACTGTAACTTTTACTTTTTTTGCTTTTTTGTTGTCATTTCGCTTTTTTGGACGTTTGGATACCGTCCGTACCTCTGTTTTGTAGATGATTACATGAACTCCAGATCATTTTCATTGGTCATCAGCATTTCTTATCACCTGCTTTGATCCTTCCACAGATCATCGGGAGAGTGAACGCTGACCCAGACTACCTGCCCCGAGCCATGGACTTTGGCCTCAATGTGAAGGGCTTTCTGGAACACTACTACACTCCAGACTGCCCCACCTCCTTCTTCCCCATGGCGGTCCTGTGCTGCGACCTGGATGCGGAGAAGCGGTGAGCACTGCTAACCTGTTAATGCAGTTGTATGCATAAGTTTGTGCACCCCTGACCGATCAGAGCACACTGGGCTCATCGGAAGGCGGGGCTTAAAGGCACAGGCGCTCTAACAGAGCGTTTCAGACAGAGGGTGAATAGAGATGAACAGTATGAGGAAAATAATGTGTTTTTGGAACATTGAAGCATCTAAGTCTATTCTACTAGAACAAAAATAAATGATGAACACTGAAAATGAGCATAATAGGTCCCTTTTTAAAGTGTGTAGAGGTGTTCAGTATCTTTAATAGACTTGCTTATGTGGTTTCTGACACTGTATGACTCACTGTTGTCTATAAACATGGACTAACATACAGACACAATTCAGGCTTGATGATGTCTGCTAATGTTTTTAGCTCTTTAATACACTTTAGTCCTTGGTTATATTTAAAAACGTGTCATAAAGTGTCCAAAACCAAATATTTCTTCCAAAAAACGTCTTACCACGTAAACGGGGTACTGACTGCACTTTTCTCTGCCAGGCCTGCTTTTGCCAAGCTGGAGGAATGGCTGGAGAACCTGAAGATGCATTTGGAGATGCGGTTCCCTCTGGTCTCGGAGTTGGAGCAGGTTCACCGAGACTTCTGGCAGAAGCACCCGCCCGGCGAGAACAGGCTGCCCACTCACCGAGAGCAGCCCGAGTAGCCAGTCGGGGCTGGAGCAGATGGTGTTTTTGTTCAGACCCTGCTGGCTGAAGGCGGAAGGGTTTTTGGGCAGTGGCACTGTGCCATGGTGCACAGGCCTACTGCAAGGTTCTGCCCATGACAGGAGGTCCGGAAGAAGTTTTGGCTGCCCCCGCGGTGGATTCAGAGGGGCTCGTTTCAAGCAAAGTACCCCATCACCTTCTCCTGGTAGCCAGGATATCTTTCCTCCACCATCGCTTTAGCCTCTTCTCTTCTCGTCTGACCACTGTTCTTGGGATCTTCCATTGTGTGCATTGTGACTTGAACTGGACCCAGTGGAGGATTATTGATGTCAGCTACTTTCCATCTACTTTCCATCAACGTTCTCGGTCGAAAGGCGATTTCAGGACCTGGAGTTGTTGTTTTTGTGTGTGAGATGTTTACAGGTGTTTCCTCAGCCTAGCTTGATTTCACATTGATCTGATTTACTGCTGAATCGTGTGGCTTCAAACTGCTAAAGGGGGCGTTTTAAGGGGGCGCTGTTGTCTACAAATCCAACATGGTGGGGGGGGATGTGGGGGGGGTAGTGCATGTTTGTAGATACTCATTTTTCCTTGCGCTGCTTATTGTTTTACCCTCAACAAAGTGGCACTGATTATGGGTCAAAACTGACCCCCCTCGTCTCGTTTTCGTCTCTCGATCCGTGTAGCGTCAACAATGTTCTGTCCTCAAGGTACACTCGTCAGAGTTTGGTACATTTTACTCTTTTACATTCATAACTGTCTGTCTGTGCGCTTGAGGTGAGGCCCAAAACGATGTGTATATAGCAAATTATGTTACATATTGTAAATGTTTTAGATATTGTATATGTACAGACATTATTTTGTATACAGTTGTGACATTGCCATATTTTTAATTGGGCTACGTGTTGGAAGTGAAAGACTAGTCCAGCTTACATCACCTGAGAGACTTCCTTTTTCGTGCAAAGGTCCTGAGAGATACAGTAGGTGTGAAATGTGGAGGATCTCTGCATTTTCTGAGTGTTTGCTTTGCTGTAAAAGTTACTTTATTTACTGTCCCTACAGGAGGCAGCAGTATAACGACACACTGAAATGTTCTTGAGTATCTCACAGTTCGGTAATCACGGCCCAGCAGACCTCTGTAGTCGGCGTCTTGGCCATATAAGGAAATCCGGGTCTAAGCCATTTATTTCTATGGGGAACATCAATGGCGTTTTCCAGTATTCCACAGCGGATACATTTTTTCCTTTCCCCAAAAGTGACTGGGTCCTTATGAGCCTGTTTAAATAGAAATAGTCGAAATAGAAATATTTCTGCGCAAAATTGGGTCTAAGCCATTTATCTCTATGGGAAACATTGATGGCGTTTTCCAATATTCTGAAGTAGACACAATTTTTCCCACAAAAGTGACTGGATCCTTACGATCCTGTTTAAGTGGAAAAATACAAGGTGATTCAAAAAGATTCATCTGATTTCAAAATGATTTATTTCACTTGTAAATCATTACAGAACGATGCAGTAAACTGTAAATGGTTTAATTGAGCATAAAGTTTATTATGTAATTGTACAAGTGCTCAATATGAACCTCCTCCAGCTGTACGGACAACATCAACGCCATAGTCAAATTCATCCCATACTTGATTGATCATGTTGGGTGTCGCTGCACTCACAGCTCTTTCAGTGCAATTTCGGAGATCATCCAGTATTGAGGAACCAACGACGAACGCTCTGAGCTGTTGGAGGTTCACTGCTGATGAAAATCACGCTGCACAGTTATGAAGGATTCACTCTTATTGAAGTGGAGAATGCAGAACGCTTTCTGCTCAGGGGTCTCCATCTCCTCTCAGACTGAAGGGAGCCAACTTCCACTGACAGTCAGAAACTTTATCCCCCTCTTTCAATTGGATTATGATTGGTTCCTCGGCGCCTCACGGTTGGAAAAATATGGCGCTTTGAAATCGGATGAATCTTTTTGAAGTAATTTTGGATCATTTCTGTTGGTCCGTTTATCCTAAAGTTTTCACACAATGTAAAAAAGTTGGTGTTTTCAAAACTGATCAAATTATTTTAAAAAAGTGAAAACAAAAATATGGTCATGTTGCCGACTACAGAATAACGACACGGTTCGGAGGTCTGTTGCAGGTCTGCTGTGTATCGTAACCTGTTCTTTATGGACTAGCTGTTACAATTCACTGTAATTTTCTTGAAATAGACTGTGTTCAAATTTTTAGCGTGCTGATTGCTGTCAGAGAAGTGCTCTGCTCAGTTTCAAAAAAAAGTTGCATTGAATTTACCCGATTCAAATGTTTATATATTTACCCCATGAATAAAATACAGATCATCAGCACAGTTGTAGACAAAAATGAGGAAACTGAAAGGCAAGATGTTGAGATGTAAACAAAGCCAAAATGTGGTTATTCAGAAGTGCTCCTTTCTGAAGAGTCAGAATGGTTCACAGTGGTGGTGATAGGACGTCCACCTCTAACACCTCCCTCACAGAAAGGTATTACATGAGACACTGTTTTACGATTTTAAACATATTTAAAATCCATTCATGGTGGAGGGACACATGCAGGATGTTGTGCAGGCAAAAGTAGTCCCTGAAGAAAGTTTATTTGTCCAGATTTTCTGTGTTGTAGTCATGGTGACCCCTGGTTCCTATCACCACCACTGTAAAGAAATCTGAACCATTTCACACCAAACCACTCTGAATCACTCTGTTTACATCTCAGCCACTTCAAATCAGAGCATATATTCTGATCTAGGATCAGCTTTTTTGGGTAGTAGGATGAGGTCAGTTTTCACAAAGTCCCTGCCCCCTAGAGGAACGTTAAAGGAATACTTCAGCGTATCTCTCGGCCTCATTTGTAGAGTACAGTCGATTTACCACAAACAATAATTTCCATGCAGAACTGAACAGAGAAACACTGGTTTCTACTAAGCACGTTTTTAAATCAGTGGGTTTTCGGAGTTCAGAGAAACACGTTGAATTTATGGTCTGTGGTAATCGACCGCACGCTAAAGGTGCAGCTAATAGAGATCAGGTTGAAAAACCACACAAGTATCCCTTTAAGAGTTGAAGCCTGAGCCCAAAAGCCACCTCACTGATGTCTGCCTGTATCTCACTATTGTGTGCAGCTCCCTATGGGAGACGTCCTGTTTACACGAAGCTGCTGGCTGTAAATATGTCTGTGTACTCAGCTTTCTCCCTGTGTCTCTCTCTCTCTCTCTCTCTGTCTCTCTCTCTCTATCTCTATCCTCTCCTGAAGAGGATGGTGTCTTGGCTAGGTGTTAGTTCCCTGTAACTGAGTGTAAACGCTGTTCTTCTGGATAATCACACCGAGCAGGACTGTCAGGAAAGCATGTGTACAGATCGCGGTCACGGGCCAAAACAAACACAAAGAAATGAAAAAAAAGACACAGCGTCTCTTTTTTTGTACAAAACCACTGTAATCGTTTTTGTATAGATCTTCAAACGATTGTTTTTATTTGCACTAAATGATAAAAAAAGTGGCCGCCACTTTTTTTTTTCCTCTCGGTTACGTAGAGACGGATGCTGCGCCGATTCTTATACAAATGCAAGTCACTGATGGAGCCTTTCGTGAAAAGTTAGTCCTGGGAAAAAAACCTCTCTTCTGAGTAGCAAACCAAGCGTGAAGGGCCTAAAAACCAGCGTCCGAGAGGGCAGCCGAGCTTTAGCCGCTGTTTGGTCCATCTGCTGTACGTAGCTCTCGTTTTTTGTCCTCTATCACTCTGTCTCCCTTCTTTTTTCTCAGTGTTTTACACTAAGACTTAAAACTTGAACCTTCTCCCACGTTCTGCTCGCTGCACGTCTGAAGGGAGATGACAGTTCAGCTGCATATGCATGTTTCTAGGTCCTCCAGGTTTATTCGCTGGGGGCTAATCGCTGTTTTCGATGGAACTTATGAAAGCCATATTTTTTCCTAGTCAGGAAGAGGCATCGCATTGACATTAGCTGAATTGTGCAGGAATGATCACCTTCACAAACTTCACAAACATTTTCTCCCAGTCATCAGTTTTTTGAAAATGTTCTTGCTAGGGCTGTCCAACGATTAAAACAACCAACCGAGATTAATCGCATTATTTTGTGTAGATAATCACAATTAATCACATTATTTTGTGCAGTTAATTGCAACTAATTGCAACATTCTGTGTAGTTTTGATTAACCATATTATTTGTGCAGTCACTCTATTTTGTGTAGTTAATCATGACTAATCACTTTATTTTGTGTAGTTAATTGTGGCTAATTACATTATTTTATGCAGTTGATCATGATTAATTACATATTTGTGAATATTCACGTTATTTTGTGCAGTTAAGTGCGATTAATTGCAATATTTTGTGTAGTTAATCGTGATTAAACACATTATTTTGTGTTGTCGATTACTTAACCAAATTAATTGTGAATAATCGTATTATTTTGTGTAGTCAACCATGCCTAATCACATTTTTGTGGTTAATTGTGAATACGCACATTATTTTGTGCAGTTAATTGCGATTAATTGCAATATTTTGTGTAGATAATCGTGTAGATCACATATGTGTAGTTAAACTATTTTGTGTTGTTGATTATGATTAATCACATTTATTTTGTGTACTTAATTGTGATTAATCACATTATTTTATGTTGTCGATAACTTATGACAAGGCTACAGTTCTAGCAGAGTAACTGCACTGTGACGGATGGTTAACACATTGGCAGCCCTAGTTTTTACACAGTTTCAAAATGCTACAACTTTCATTTTTAATCTTTTCACATCAAACATTTCACAACAAACAGAACCAACAGAAAAGTTCCAAAATCATCGAAAGCCCAGTTACAGTAACACTTTTTCTCTTTTCCCATAAAGTGAGTACCGTTTTTGTTCCACTGAGAGCGGCAAATTTTGTAAATACGCAGTTTCAGCACCGCCGCATCTTTTTTATTTTCTTATTTCAGCACTTAAACGTTAAACGCTCCACTTCTGAGCATTTTCTCCAGGTTTGCTACGCAGGGGTCAGAGGCCCAAGGCCTGTCTGCTGCCTAAAGAAAGATCCTTTGTGAAAGAAGTTCGTAACGACTGCTTCATCGTACCGTGTCACGTTCCTTCAACACTCAGCCTACATTAACAGAGCACTTACGTCGCTGTCTAGGAGAAACAGCTGGATGTTAGTATTCCACTCCGTATTTGAGTCTCAGTGCGCATGGTGGCCATACAGGATGGCGCTACGCTACAGTATACATTTCAATGTGAATCAGTATATGCGCATGTATCCTGGATGTGTTCTCACCTTTTCTGTCGACAGATAAACAATCGCACGCATGACGACGTCGTGAGCTACTTTATGTGCGAATGCTGCAGCAGTCCCTCTTTGCAAAGGATCATTTTTACCTCTGAATATTGCTGTGCCTTTGTTTTAAGCTAGCCTTGCCAACGACTTGTAGTGCATTTTGAAATGATTTTTTTTTTTTTTATCGTAAGCCTGATGGATTGATTTTATATCATTGCTGATGTTGAAATGAGAGTTCCTCTTGTTCTCTATATTTATATACCGTATTCTTCCATATCTCCACTGTCCAGTTTGGTATTTAGTTTTATGATTTGTTCTTTTAATTTAATTATTTTTACACAAGCTGTGAAAAAAAAAAAAACGATTCTGCACTTTAAATTCTGGCCGTGAAAAATTTGAGAATCCAAGGAGTTGACTATATTTGATTGCAGCTGGAATAAAACTGCCGCTCCTTAACAGTTCATGTGTGCGTTTGTGTTTTTATTTACAAGATCACAACTGGCTTGGATGTGTTTTTGCTTCTTGGTGAGCTTCAGAGAGCTTTTGTGACAAACTCAACGTCAAACTTGGCCAAAAAAGATAAACAAGAAAACCATATAATGTATAATGTTTAATGTAATTGGGGAAGTCATGGGTTGGAGGTTAGGGAACCAGCCCTGTGACCCCAAGGTTGCTGGTTCGATCCCCTGAGCCGACAGCACATGACTGAAGTGCCCTTGAGCAAGACACCTAACCCCCAACTGCTCCCCGGTCGCGGGGATAGGGCTGCCCACCACCTCAGGCTTGTGTGCTCACTGCCCCCTAGTGTGTGTGTTCACTAGTGTGTATGCGGTGTTTCACTGCACGGATGGGTAAAATGCGGAGGTGAATTTCCCTGTTGTGGGACTAATAAGGGTCACTTAATTTTAATTTAATGGTCCCGTATCAGGATAAACCCGATCTGTTCTCACTCCAGTGAATTCATTGCCTCTGTGATGTCACAAAAGCCAACACATTTACATATATCCACCTACAGCAGTTTAACCCCACCCACTTGCTCTGAAGTTATAAGGAGCGTCTCATCCTGGGAGTCTTTTTAAAGGTTTGATTTAGGGTGATCTATAAGCATAAATGGAATATAGTAAACAAAATCATGTTTTCTTTAGTGTATAATCAGCTGTAAATATAAATTATGTTTTTATTTCTTAGAATGAGCCCTTAATATCTACAGAAGGAGCAGCTCCTCTTCAACAGAGGCTACCATGTTGCGCC